GATTTCTCAGAAATTAGAGATTTGTGATCGTCATGACATCAGTCCATGTGACGATGCAAATCTCCTTTCACATAATAAAGGTAAGTACCTATCAATGATGTCATTTTTGATAAGGTAAACCTGTCAGGTCACTATTATCGTCTATGTGCCTGTCAGAATGAATGGTTAAAATTGTCTCTGAAATTGACGAGATACTGATACTCAATTCATTTAGGATTAAAATTTGAAAATGAAATTTATTCGATATTAAAAAAAAATATAACATTCACTGTCAATCTTACTAGAAGTATTCAAGGTGATGGAGGAATTGACTTGATATTATTTTATAAAGATATGCTTGTTCTTATTCAATGTAAGAATTTGGCATCTAAAGTTGGCATGACTCATATAAAAGAATTCATCACCACATTTTAAATAAATAAGATAAAGAAAAAAATGTGTTTTTTGATATTGGCAAATGGGTTTAGTAAAAATTGTTATGATTTATTACACAATCACAATATAATTCTCTTAACTAATAAAGATAATATTTCAGACTGTATCATATCCTATTACAGAAATACAAATTATGAAATTTCAAATGTGTCAGATGGAAAAGAAGTGAGAGTGAATTTAAAATTGAATATTAATAAGATTAAATTAGATGTAAATGTTAGTTTCAGATATATAATTGCCATGATTATTATAATTTTTGTATTAATTAATTTTAATAAAATTAATAAATAAATCCATCCAGTGCCTTGCGCACAGGATGGGGTGTTATTTGCGTAACTTTAAAATGACTGATTTCAACAATATAATCGAATACTTAGATTAGATAATGAAGAAACATTTGGCATTTTTGAATGATTTGAAACTCACACACAAGAATAAAGAAAAGATTGGATTATTTCTAAATACATATAAACTTGTTGATGAATCATTGTATAAAGATAGAGGTGAAGTTCAGGATCAATTTGACTGTGTTGATATCGAGTTGAGAGAATTAGAGTTAAAGAATTCAACAATTGAAAAAAATACTAGGTTTACTGCATTTTGTATTTTGATTGATGATGACAAAAATGTATGGATGAATCTTAGTGATAACGAATATTGGGTCCCAGGTGGTTATTTAAGAATGAAATCTGATGGGACATATAAGAAATTTGAGGAATGTGTTATCCGCTAGGTGAAAGATAAAACTGAAATTATTATGCCATATAAAAATCTCTGAAAAATTATGGAAGTCAAGTATTTTCTAATGGATGATGTATTAAACGTTTGTAATATTTTTTTGGTATATATTCATAAGACTTTGGATAGGTAGATGAGTTTTAATCACAGGGAGATTAATAATTTAGAATATTTATTAATATTTCCATTAAGAATGATATATGATAATATTTTATGAAATATTGGTAGTTTTAGAGTGAATCGAAAGAAAGAAGAAAAAAGAAAGATTGAGGATGAGAATTTTGTTAGTTCAAAAAGAATAAATCCTGATATATATATTTTTTTTTTATTATAATAAGCTTTACTCTAATTTATTAATTTTTTGTTGTAAACAACATACATTGTATATTTCTGT